ACCGACAACTGATTTACGCCGCTGCAAGCGTCGCACATGTGAACGCTATGTGCCCTCATCTCGTAGCCCAGCGGGGAGCGGTAAACAACCACTTGCAGTATGACAAACACAAGATAACGGTCCGGGCCACGGATGAGCCACGTGGTATGGAATCATATGCAGATGTAAAGACAGATATTGCAGCACTTCTGACCGATTCACAATCGTCTTGGCCAGCTGACTTCGGAAACTACGGCCCCTTCATGATTCGACTCGCATGGCATTGCTCTGGTACATATCGAACGTCGGACGGCCGAGGAGGTTGTGATGGTGGACGTATCAGATTTGATCCAGAGTTGACTTGGGAGGACAACGCCAATCTTAACGAGGCACTGAAACTACTGGAACCTGTGAAGGAAAAGTATGGCGATGTCCTTTCTTGGGGTGATCTGATAGTTCTGACTGGAAATGTTGCAATTGAGACCATGGGTGGGCCTGTTCTAGGTTTCTGCGGGGGTCGTGTAGACTCGAAGGACGGGAATGAGAGTATCCCACTTGGACCGACTGCTTATCAAGAAGAGCTGGCGCCGTGTGAGATCAATGGTCAATGCGAGGCTCCGCTTGGTCCCACAACCATAGGTTTGATATACGTAAATCCAGAAGGACCCATGGGCGTTCCCGACCCTGTGGGTAGCGCGGTTGATGTTCGCTCATCCTTCGGGCGTATGGGAATGAATGATAGCGAGACAGTAGCGCTAATTGGCGGCGGGCATGCATTTGGTAAAACCCATGGCGCATGCGATGACCCCCCTTGTGGATCTGGCGAGATGGAAGGCAAAGGACCCAACACCTTCACAAGTGGTTTTGAGGGTCCATGGACCATTGATCCCACAACATGGGACAACTCCTACTACACGAACCTGCTTGATTACGAATGGAGTGAGGTTGACGGGCCGGGCGGACACGTACAGTGGGAGACTGACGACCTTCCAGGTGTGATGATGCTCACTGCAGACATCTCTCTAATCAACGATGAAGAATATTTGCCATTGGTGCAAGAGTTTGCCAAAGACCAGGACGCTTTGGATAAGGCCTTTATATATGCTTGGTACAAACTTACCACTCGTGATATGGGCCCTGCAGAACGATGCATGGGCGATGATGTGCCTCCCCCTCAGCCATTCCAGAATCCATTACCGGCTTCAAATTCTTCTAGTGTAGACTTTGATGAGGTTAACACAAAGATCAACGAGATCATGAATACAGAATCCGACATTCTAGCACCTGACACAGATGCAGATGGAAACCCATATTATGGTGCTTACTTTGTCACACTCGCATATCAATGCGCAAGCACTTTCAGAGCCACAGATAATGGAGGTGGTTGCAATGGGGCGAGTATCAGATACGAGCCGCAGAAGTCTTGGCCTAGGAATGTAAATATGGATAAGGTAATGGAGCTTCTGCAACCCGTGAAGGATGAGTTTGAGGATCTCTCTTGGGCGGATCTGATTGTTGCAGCAGGTCATGCGGCTATTGTAGACGCAGGGGGAAAGGATGCTTTCAAAGGGGGACGCTCGGATGCACCCAACGGCGACTACGCAGCAACATTGGAGCTTCGTGACTACTATCTAAATCCAATCATCGCAAATGTAGACAATGCGAAAGTTATGGGTTTAACAGTTGAAGAATTCGTCGCTCTTGCTGCACGCCCTCGTAGTGCTAGCCATGAGGCTACACTTGGTTATGTAGGTTCATACACTGATGATCCCTCGACCCTGTCAAATGGCTACTTCAATCTTCTGCTTGATGAAGATTGGCAGATGATTCCCGATTCAGTTAATGGGTACAAAGCTGAAGGTAAGGATCTGTACATGGAGGATTTTGACCTAGCACTTCTGGACGATCCTGAGATGAAGGCTGCGGTTGAAAAGTTCTCCAATGATGAAGAAGCTTT